TTTAAATCAGGCAAGATTTTACATCTGGAGTACTCCTGAAATAAAAATATGTCCCTTTTATTCTACAGCGGTGGTAGGTATGCTTTTCTGGGTGTAGCTCACACTTGTTTCCTTTGCCAACTGCATAATTAAGAGTTTGCACCTATTACTTTGATTTAACTTGAATTGATTTAACTCGAGTCTCCATCCTCACTGTATTTAAGACATCCAGCATAATTCCTCTTGCTTTACAGTCAAAAGGCTTCCTTCCAGACAAAGGAGTACGATGAGTAAAGGCTTTTATCTTACGTGTCTGAAAACTTAATGTCACTACATACGATACTAAGATGGTCAGCCCCCTAAAAGGTTTATTATTTAGGTTGGGCATAATGTGTGAGCATTTATGACACACACTAATATATCTTAACCCTTGAGAAATATCTGCCCTTCCCCCACTGTTAATTCCTACAGCCATGAAGCTGGGTCCAACGAGGTGGGCACCTGCAGTGGGTGGAGTGGGGGATCCACACGGTCCAGGCAGGGTGAGGGGGGCGCCTCACCTGAAGCAGCCTGGTGAGGGAGGACGGGCCTAAGGAGGGTGATGAGGGCATCCACGCAGAGACGTGGCTGTAATATGGTTGGTTTTGATTTGGTTTGGGGCTTTTCTTACTGCTGTCCCGAGGCAGTCTTGAGGCTAGAGGCAGGTCAGTCCCCTTCCTGAGAGGCTAAGTCCACACTCCACCCAACTCCCTTACCAGAGGGGCTCCCCCTCTCTGGTGCCACTCTGCACCTCCCCCAACGGCCCCCGATGTAGGCACCTGAGAACCAGGGACAGCCCCTGTCAGAGGATTATCCAAATCTGCCAACCCACAAGGAGCTTTCAAAACCTAGCTATCGATGCTGGGCTTTTCATTCATAAGATGCCCCCTCCAGTTTGTGTGCTGCCGCCCTGTCGCCGGGCACAACTCCCCGCATGGCCCAGCCTCCCTCATATGGAGCTGCCTTTCAGCTATCTGAGCATCGGTATGTCCCAGCATCAGAAGACTCTCGAAATCTTATAAAATGGTGGCCCCACTGTGATGTTTCTGGGCCCACGTGGGGAGAGGAGGCTGCACATGCAGGAGTGGGGGGCACCGAGGCATGATGTGCTGGGGCCCTGGCAGGGTGCGACGGGTCTCCTCGTGGCACAGCACGCAATCACGGTGTGCCAAGGTGAGGAGGCGGCATCTGCAGGCCATAGGGGAGCAGTGGGGGAACGAGCTGTCCCCCCCAGGTCCCTCCACGGTGAACACACTATTCTGTCCTCTGTAACAGCAAGTGCCTTGTGGCAACACACTCCGAGACTACATCCCTAGATTGTTCCTATTTTCACCCACGAATTTTCGCATCCATTGAGGATTCTTGCCTATAAGAATCTACTATGGTTTTGTCAAACGGTGAGGATGAAGTTTTTTGAAAACTAAAAATAACCTCAGAGGCCTTTGTGCCGGACTTGCAAACTACAGCCTGTGGCCAATCTCAGCCCGCCGCCCGTCTTAGTAAGTAAAGGTTTCCGGACACAGGCAGGCCCGTGCGCTTGAGCGCCATCTGCAGACGTCGCACCGCGGGGCCCAGCTGAGGAGATGCAACAGCACCGCACGTCCCCCACAAAGGCTACACGACACGCGGGCCCCTCAAAGAAAAAGGTCGGCCAACCCGTGTTTAGGAAAATATTGCATTTATGAGTCAGGCACAGAATGTTTAATAAAGAAAAAGAAAAATAATTCTTATAAAAACTTGACCAAATCATCAAAATAAAAAAAAATCAACAGAAAGATTGAAAAACAAAAGTGAGACAATATTCCGAAGAACAAAAGACTAAGAAGATAGAAATAATCAGAAAATCAATCCAAAAAGCATGATAGTTGATTAATAAAAGCTACAGAAAAAGAGAAAATACTTTAATCCAGAATTGAAGTAAAAAAATTCTTTATATGACCCATAATGAACGAAAAAGATTTACTCCAAGGCACAATGTCTTGAAATTTTGAAATACCAAGCTAGAGAAGAGAAAGAGAACAGCTCTCATACAAAGGAAGAACAATCAAAATGGCACGATCTCCATCAACAGCAATGCTAGGATATGTGCACATGTTAAAGCTGTCTTCACGTTCTAAGAGAAAACATTTGTCATCCTACAGTGTCTACCCAATTAAACTATCCATCAGACGTTTTCAGGAATTCATGGATCCAAAATGTGTCTCCCACGTCAGTTTTCTTAGAAAGCGGCAGGAGAATGTGCACCACAAAAAAAAAAAAAAAGGGTATAAATGAAGAAAGAGGAAGACAAGACTCCATAAAATAAGATTCCCACAGGAACTCCCCAGGATAACAGCTGTCCAGCAGGGCTAAAAAGAAGTTTAAAGCAAATAGAGGCAGAACTCTGGAAATGAAATAGCCTGGGGAAAAAATAGAATTCGTAGATTATTTGATATGATTGATTTAGAAAAAACTACTGAAAAAATTGACCAACATATGAAAGACTGAACTTCTTGGAAAATTTAAGTTTCACCAAAGCCATGCAAGAAAAAAGGGAGACAATTATGCATCCAAGAAAAATAAAAAGTTGTAAAAGAAAGAAGTGCCCTATTACTCTGACTCTGCAGGCAACGATACCACAGTCATAATTAACAAACCATAACAACTACATAAAATTGCTATATTTGATATGATGCAAGAGAGAGGATGGCTGGAATAGAAAAGCTATTATTTTATCTACCTTAAGTCAACAGATGTCCGAAACTGACAAATCCAGAAACAGCCACAGAAGAATATTACTTACAAATACGGGGGCAAACCCGAGAGGAAACAGCGTTAAACAGCTGAACGTTATCTTAGACCCACGAGAGGACAGGTGGGGGCAGGGCTGGGTCTTCTGGCACCATCTGGTGATGTGTGGTGCGCACACCGTGCTCCGGTAAGACGCTCACAAACGCCAGGACGCCGTGAACGCCCTTCCTCGCCCGCACTCACCCTTCCTCAGCACTGCTCAGAGCGAACTCAGATGTGAAGGGCTCCCAGGCTCCTCAAGTCAGAATTTGTGCCTGCTTCCTTCATGCTCCCATAGCTGCTGGTATATTCCTTATAATAATTTCTGTTGATTCAACAAATCATATTATGAGACTGGCTTCCTGTTAGATGCTGGAGATAGAGTAGTAAACGAGAGCAGAGTCCTGCCCACGGGACTAGCAGTCTGGCAAGCAGACATCACACACACACTCAATTCGGTACGGACAAGAGTTCTAACAAGACGCCCCAGCCTGAGTTTCCGCCCCCATCCAGATAGTGTTCCCCTGGGGCTAAAGAGAACCATGCTTGGTCTCTGCCTCTGCCTGGCTTCCGACATTTCCAGGGCATCTACACCCCCCACAGTTTAACTCAGTGAGTTCCAGGCATCACCACGGTCTCATGGTCGTTTTCCAATTCTGACCTGCAGGGGACACATGGCTTCCACCCCTCTCGTGACGTCTTCATGGCTCAAGCCACTGCCTCTCCATCCCCCCGCGCTCACCCAGGTGGGGCAGGTGCTCTGCACCTCTCTGGAGGTACCACGAAATAACATGATCCCCTGCTCTCCGCTCTGACCCAGATTTCAGACTTCTCCCTTGCCAGGGCTCCCACCCGAGGCCCCAGAGGTCAGACGGCAGGGACGGCATTGGGGCAGGAGTCCTTTGTACTGTCACTTTCTTTGGCTAAGAACCTAGTATCTGTCCCAGATCTTTTATCGCTGTCTTCAAGCAGCTCACACACACACAAACATCCCTCGAGAGAGAGCTGATCAGATAGCTCAGGATGAGAAAGAAAAATAGAAAGGAGGGGACGCGCCTCCCAGTAGGAGCAACACGGCATTTCAGAAATCACTTCTGAGAGCACCTGGGTGGCTCAGTCGTTAAGTGTCTGCCTTTGGCTCAGGTCATGATCCCGGGGTCCTGGGATCGAGTCCTGCATCAGGCTCCCGCTCCGCGGGAAGCCTGCTTCTCCCTCTCCCACTCCCCCTGCTTGTGTTCCCTCTCTCGCTGTGTCTCTCTCTGTCAAATAAATAAATAAATAATAAATAAATAAAAAAAAAAGAAATCACTTCTGAGAGTAACCTTAAGGAGATAAAAACATGATCAAAAAATAATCTATACAATCTAAAACGAATTTAGAACAAAATCCCTAAAAAAAAAAAAAAAAAACCACGTATACTTAGACACGTTACCCCTGTTTGAAGCCCAAGTGTCTGTCAATTCTCTTAAAGCACTTCTGCAGAGGATGCGCTCACCACTAACTCATCCGTCTGGGTCGCCACTAATGTCCAGCTGGGGGTCTTCACTGCATTTGTATCACACTTTGCTCTTTTAAGCAATGACAGTTTCTTCCAATGATTTCAGATACATCTTACCTTGTGAGGTAGGCCCTTGTCGAATTTAGTTTCATTAAATACTAATATGGTGGCTGAATGCCATGAATACAGCACTTTCTCATTTCAATGGACACCATGAAGTTCATATTTAAATACACTTTTTCATTTTGGGTTCTAGCCAATAAAGAAAAAAACCTTTATCTCTACCACACACACACACACAGGCATGTGCACACACACACACGTGCACACAATGATCACACACATACACACACATGTACACGCACACATGTGCACAGTGATCACATGCACACACACACACACATTGATCACACACACAGTGATCACACGCTTAAGCAGAATTCCTTGTCTTTTAAATTATAAGGGCAAAAGGGAAGTAAATATCTTCTTCCTTATTTTATATGAATTTTCATTGGGACATGCTATTTTCATGTTTTTAAAATTTAACTTAATTCTCTAAACATTAACTTTAAAATGACCCATAAATCATAATTTCTAATGTGAAAGAAGAACGCTTCAAACAGACTGCTTTATTTCAACTTCCAACACCAAGAACACAACCGGTGAGTCCAAAATAAACAAACAGCAACAATAATTTGCCACCTCCTGCCAATACTTAGTATGTTGTCCCAAACCAGTGGTTTATTTTTGCTATCCTCAGGTAAAGGACCAGGCTGACGATGAAGTATTCTTCTGTCTCTTTGATCCACACCAGCTCCATGTGCACTTTTCCTTCTGAGTCCACATAGTCAACATAGTAAGTGTGTCCCAAGAAGTTAGGCCCATCAGAGGGCCCGGAAGATCTCATGCAAACAGGGGAACTGAAACACCAAAAGGGTTTCCCATATTCATCCAAAAGGGTTACGTCCATTATAGAACAACTCTACAAAATAAACACAAATACTCATGAGTGTAAGGGCAAAATGGCCAACTGGACCTGATTTCCAGGTCTAACTAATACGTGTGTAAATGCGTAAATGAAGCCTTGCTGTGAAGGATGAAGTGAAGGGGGAGGGAGGAGATAGAAGAGAACAGAGTTACAGAAGAAGGCAGGGCCACACCAAGATGGCGAATGAGCAAGAAGCGTTGGAGGGACTAGGAACCAGGGGCGCTGGGGGGCAACAGGGTCATGAGGGCGGCAGGGCGGCTATCACATCACCTCCACCACCGCAAGCAGCAACCAGTGCCAGTAAATGCATCTCCGATACACAGAGCAATGAAGCAGGGGTGGGGGCAGCGAGAACAGCACAGGGACGTTGGTGACCATTACACGCCTGCAAGGAGACAGCAACGTGAGCCCTCAGCCGTCGGGGGTAGTAACTCACGGGAAAGAGATGGAAGAAGTATCTATAAGACACACTGAGCAGCACCTGGTATCGGGAGGTGTGGGTAGGGGAGAAGGGGGCGCTGACCTCCTACTCTCTCCCCCACTGCTGCAGAACGGCAGGGTCTGGGGAGAAGAAACGTGTCCACTTCAGCCACGCTGCCTCTACAATGCCACGTGAAGAGTCACTGCTGCACGGGGACTTGAGTCGGGGGAGATGCTGATAATGATTAATCAATATAGATTGATTTTTTAGTTGTGGTAAAACACACGCAACAGAACTTTACCACTGCAACCGTTTTTAAGCATACAGCTTAGTGGCATTAAGTGACACTGCTGTGCGGCCTTCAGTACCGTCGACCTCCAGAGCCCTTTTCATCTCGCAAGCCTGACACTCTGGACCCATTAACTTCCCAGCCCTCCCTCCCTGCAGCCCCTGGGAACCACCATTCTACTCAATGTCTCTGCGAACTGACCACTCTCGGGACTTCATATAAGTGGAATCTTACAGTATTTGACCTTTTGTGTCTGCCTTATTTCACTTAACATAATGCCCTCAAGGTTCATCCATGTTGTAGCGTGTGCCAGAATTTCCTTCCTTTGTAGGGTGGGACAATAGTCTGTAGTATGCGTACACCACCTTGTGTTTATCCGTTCAGCAGCTGGTGGACACCGGGTTTCTTCCACCTTTGACTCTTGTGAAAAAATGCTATGAAATGAACATGAGTGTGTAACGTTAGCTATATTTTTTAACATGTTCTGTTTACTAAACACTAATCCAAGCAGTTTACATATACTATTTTATTTAATTCTCAAGAATTAATTTTTTTTTCTCAAGAAACTATGTGGTAGTATGAAGGCTAAAATCTTCTAACACTTCCCCTTTTTAAGAAATGGCTCATTATTTGCCATGACTTATGCCCTGTGTTAGTATTTTACTAATTGGAATTTAAATGCTTACTCTTAGATATCTGCATAAAATGGAACAATGATATCAACCTAATTATAGAGACACAGATATTACAGATACCTACATAGAGAGATATATAAAGATATTATAGATGTCAGCATAAACACTGCTTTCAGAGATCTATACACGATTAAATGTGGCCAACAGCACTGACCATTTGGACCTGAGTATGATCAGGCCAAAGAGTCCTGACTCAAAAAAGTGTTTCTCAGAAAGAAATTAAAGGAACACAAACATTCCAAAAGTTAAAAAAAAAAAAAAGAGAGAGAGAGAGAGAGAGATGGTCTAGTAAGTAAGGGATGAGAAGTGGTTCCTGCCTCTGGAGGAGACCTGAGTGAAGAACAAGCCAACATGAACCATCCCCGGCCCCCGAAGGCAGAGAATACAGACCAGAGCTGAAAGCCGCTGCCCACATGAGGTGGGGACCGTCCAGCGAGACAGCCTGAGGAGCCCAACACTAGACCCTCCACGTCCTGGAACAGCACACATCCACCCATCACACCCTCTGCTTCTGGCAGAACAGGGACTACAGTTCACAGACCATGGAGAAGGGCTCACTGGGGCTGAGAACAGGGGGAACCAAAGCCAACCCTGAGAGCTAGAATGTGTCTCTGTCTGTGCTCAGGCAGCCAGAGCCCTTCTGGAATAAACAGCTATCATCACGGCCATTTGATGAAGGAAGCTCCATGGCCATGTCAATGCCCAAGATAATACACCTGGTCGGGTGGTCATGCGGACCCAAGCCTTTCTTTACCCCATCACCCTTCATTATCTTAACTACTGGTTTAGCAGTCTCTCGGTTTTGTTACTTAAAACCTCATCAAAATCCAGCAGCACAGACACAGTGGCTAGAACCATGAGCAAGGAGGAGACCATGAGAAGAAGGTGACACCCTGGGCTGCCCCAACATTTCAGAGGAAGATAGAGAAGGAAATCCAGGAGGTACGGTCAAGAGGTATAAGAACTCTTTGATAAGGATGCTGCTGCTCATGAGCCCTGAGCCCTTCAGGAAATGGCTTCCTGTCTGCTTTCGGCCCCTCAGCTGCCAGACAGAGTTGTGAGCTATCTTCCGAAGCTCTCCTGGTTCTAAAATCCTAGCATTCTCCAATTCCTACATATCCTATGGAACACCCGGCACACAGTGGCACAAAAAACCCTTTAACAGCCTCAACTCCAAATTCTTTATCCTGGGTCGTGAGGCCCTTTGTGAGCGCCCCCCAGCCTGCCTTTCCACCCACCTCCTGGTACCCCCTCCCTCCTCTGGTGCGGAGCCCGGTCACACTGGGGAAGCTCAAGATGGACAGACAGCCGCCGCTGGGCTCTTCCACCCCTTTCCAGGCTCAGTGGATACCCAAACCCTGCTTCACAGAGCACAGAGGCCACCTCCTCCTTAATGCACGTGGGGTGTCGGGTTCCTCCCAAGGTGCCGACTCCTTTAATCACCCAGCACTGCCAGCAAATCCACCAGGGCATCTTTCTTGGGGGCTGGGGTGGGGGCACAGCCACCATCACACACTGAACCCGGGACACGCCCATCGGCAGGCTTCACTATTCTTGCATAAAGCACAACCACAGTTACACTAAAATATCTGGCTTGAATTACAACGAATGTTGAGCTCCATGTAGATCTAGAAGTAAGTAACATTAAAATACACAAAAAATGCCAAGGCATGAAAGTACAAGGAATGGATATAAGAAAAACCTTACCAAAGGACACTCCATCCATCAGCACTTCTGATAGGAACGGAGAGAAGGCAGGGCAGGAGAGCGGTTTTGACCGGCACTGAATTCTACCGAAGCCTGCAGCAGCGACCACCCTGGCCATTCAAACGGCCTTTGTAAGACAGACTAACGAGCGGTCGGAGAACAGCGGGCCTGTGTGGGTTCAGCACTAACAGCACCCGGGGCAGGCGGCTCTACAATGTATTTGAGACCACAATCTGACTTTGAAAAGAAAAAGAAAACCTCATCAGCTTTTAACGTGATGTTTTTAAGTATTTATGGCTGAGCAATCCCCCGTATAAAATGATGAGCTGCTGATGTTGGACTCCAGGCACCCAGGCGGGAGTTACGTCTGGTTTGAATGACCAACGGGGCCGGCCTCACACTCCCGTGCTCCTCTGGCAGAGAAGATCCCTCTGCGAACAGTAACCAGGAGGACCCCAGAGAGCCCACCCGTGACCACACACCACTTTGACAACACAGTGCGACGGGCAGCTCCGCCGTCCGTCATTATCATGATCATTGATATCTATCCCGGGTCCAGAGTCGCCGGCTTGGGTGACACTTTCTCACTGACCTGCGCCACAACGGCGTGCTGAACGACAGTCCAGGAGGCTGTTTCCACAATCTCTGCCACAAGCATGCCGCTTTGTTGGTTTTTCATAGTTATATGTATTTAAGAAACTTTTTTACAGTTTACCCTTGTTAATAAAATACCCTGAGAGCAATTTCTCAAAACATGTTTTATAGTTTCACAATAGTTACGCTGCTCAGATGCCTGAGGGAAATGCTTGACCTGCGTGGCGAACACAAGGGACAGGACATCACTTACCTCGACTTTTCTTCTTTAGGAACTCTGAGGATATCTCAGTCCTAATACCAAACCCCAAATTACGAACAGGAAAATACAAATGGACCTTGCCCAGCCACAGCAGGCCCCCAGGAAAGGGTACAGCCGTGGAGCCCCACTCCAGCTCCCCCCAGAGCCCAGCTGGGAGAAGAAACTGCAGGAGAAAGTGTGCAGGGACATGCAGTCCATGCCTGACTGCAAGGACCCAAAACCCCATTTTCAGATCAAGCCATTTTCCTGGAAAAATGCATTCCTGAGTCACGTCGGTCTAGCGACCTACAGAATCACGGCCTGGAGCTCATTTTGAAGCTACACCTTCGGCTCCTGTTTGCTGTAAAAAATCTGTCCCCGCAGTTGCAGCTAAAATGCTGTTTAGGATGGTCTGTTCCACAGCTTAGTCTGCCCTACCTACAGCCCCACCAGAGACTGCGTGTGTGACGAGAGCGATGATAGAGCTCTGTTTCTCTGTAGAATTACTCCACGTCCCTCACTCTGCTCTCATCCTGCTCCAAATACCAGAAAACACAGAACAAATTACATCAGTTTTATAATCACACAGACACGTTCAGTCTTCAGTATCTGTATTTTGCCTTTCTTGGACCACAAGGTCTACTCTGACTATAATATTTTATTTTAGTATATATTTTTATAAGACCCGTTAAAAAAGGATCTGTGCTCTTAAAGACATGAAGCAAGATTCTTTTATATATGATAAAAATAATCTATACCAAAGTTTAAATATTTGTTTTCCAATAAATAAGGGCTACTAAAGCAGCTCATTGTATCAAATAACAAGTGGCTCAAGAGATAATACTTAACGATAATTGTTTTCAACACTCAATGATAACACTGCCCTTGTCATCACCAGCAATCGTTCTAACAAAGTGTCCACCCTTGTACAGCAGAAGAGAGGCATGTTACTGATGACAGATCCCAGTGGCTCACCAGGAACAGGTAAATGCTGTCCATCCCACAAAACAAAGACGGAGAACAACGAGAACCAGGGGCAGCCATGGGCACAGGATCACAGAGGAAACAAAACTACGTCTCAAAGGCGCTCATGCTCCTCCGCCTCCTCTTCCTTCCCCCTTCCCTGCCGACTCCCAACCGTAACTGTTCAAGGGAGGGTGTTCCAGGAAATATCTGTATCCTGACTGGTAACTTGATGTAAGAGCAAGTAAGATGTTGAGTCAATGCTACTGGCCTGGTCCAACCTAGAGCTCCACTTTTTCTCCACAAGACAGACAGACAGACAGACAGAGGGGCTTCAAGGGAGGGCAGGGGTACAAAAACATTGCTGCATATTATGCACCACTCCTGATCCCCCACACTCAACAAAAAACAGAAGGTACAAGCTAAGAGAATGTGCACATATCTTCAGACATTAGAACACTAAAACTAGGACTTTAAAAGCAGTATCAAAGATATACATAGACTTTTTTGTTATACAGAAACCAGGTTACATTAAGAAAATAAAACAACAAATTACCTTTATACAGCCATCGAAAACATCAGTTCTCCAAGAGAGGCCAACTTTTCCAATAAGAGGTAGGTGTTCTGTGTTATTTTTGAAACTTATAACAACAAGCTTCACATATCCATTTTCAATGGATCCTGAAAAGATTTAAGAATTTTTAAAATTATGACATACCCATGCAGGACAAGTCAAGACTCCTTAGGCTTGCTGCTTCATAAAGAATGCCTCATCTAGCCACGTCCTGGATGCAGGCATCTGGCTTGAGGCCGGTGGCAGACCCACACTCCAGAGACAGAGACACAAGTGCACACTCTGGAAACACAATCTCAAAGGGGGTGGGGGGAGCTGACTGGGGTGAACCTGGATCTCACCTGTCAACGATGAGAGGTTGCTAAGGAGGCCAAGGTTCTTCTGATTTGATTAAGCTAACAACAGTACAAACATTACACAAGAACTGTGGAGCTTCCCGGAAAGCAGATGCCAGAGTGGTCCAGACATGAGATGTGAGGGAGCAAGGAGGGCAATGTCCAGAGGACTGAGGAACTTGAGAGCAGGGAAGTATGGAAGAAATAAGAAGCCCCGCACACATAAAGGAATAAACATCTTTCATGTGCTTATTGGTAAGTAAAAATCCGTGCACTGGCTACCAACAGCTTGAGACCAGAGGCCTTGCCCCTTCTCTGACTAGTTAAACACTGACGAAGAGCTACCTGGCCACTAGCAAGGGCCCAACACAACCCAGGTGCACGAGTTTCACTTTCCAAGGCCCTGATGCTGACAGCCCCCAGGACTGCTGAGCTTCCCGTGACCATGAGCTCTGCACCCTCCTTTTACGTGCCCTGAAAAGTGACCAGCACGCGGGATAACATAACAGCTCCTTCACTTGTACGCAAGCTTTCTTCAGAGAGAGACACCTTGACAAAGGTAAGATGTGAGTCACAGGGCAAAGCAGACAGAAGAATGGGAAGAACAAATGTTCTTTGGCCTTAGGTGGGTTATTTCAGGAGAAAAATAAAGCCAAAGCTAGGTTGCCTTAGGAGCCAAAGCCCTACCCTAGAAATTCTGCACAGTGTCGTCACTTAAGCCGAGCCTTAGTGCTGCTTTACCAGCAGCCTCTTCTGTGACACGGTAATGGCTCTAAGGGAGATACCCACTAGGAGCAGAACTTTCCGGCCCTGCAGGAGGGTGCTGGGAGCCCATCTGTACCAAGGACAGAGGCAGCCCATGACGTGGTCCCCTCGCTGCTGAGTAATTAGCAAGGACCGTGCAGCTCCTCTCCTCCTCTCCCCAGGTGCGGAAGCCAATGCCAAATGACACTGACCCTTCCCAGCAAGAGCTCCACTGTCACCTCGGCAGGGCTCAACGGAAGCAGGGAGGAAATCTGTGAGAAGCAAAGCCTCAGAGGAGATGTGGTAATGACATTCTGAATGGACCAGATGTGGCTCTGCTCTGCTCTGTATTACTGCACAGCCATGTGCAAAATCGAGAGAGACCTCCGACCGGCTGGCATGTGCACTGGCAGCCAGACGATGCCATACAGAAAGCCGCGAGTTCATTTTCCATGTGGCTTGTCCTCAGGACACTGCAGAAAACGGACCCCAAAGTACAACAGCCAATAACATCTCAATGGCAATTGTCTAAGCTAATAAACATGAAATCTCTGTGGAAGCAAGGACTGTTGTTATTTTATTACCAAATATTCTCCCGCTTTAGAATAACTCTAACATTTGCAGTATCTTGAAAGGTCAGAGCTCTCTCGGCATACTCTGTAAGTGCTCGTATCTATCAGAGAAAAAGGTTAAGCTCACCCTACATTTAAACAATCTGCACACTGAATGTATGTGTGAAAACGTGTATATATAAAATAGGCAATATTTTTGAGTATTTACTGTACACCAGCCATTGTGTTAAGCACTTTATGTAGAGTAGCTTAAAAGACTACTTTAAAATATCTTAAAATCCTACTATTAATTAGGTATTATAGTTTTCTGAATTCACAGGTGAGAGAAGGGCACACAAAGAGATTAACTGTACATCACCCACGGTCATACCACTGGTAAGTGGCAGAGACATGATTCAAACATTATGTGTCTATTATAAGATGGATCTTATAATAGATTAAAACATATACAAAAAGGGGAAACATAATCACCTATTTGCTTAAATACTGAGAATTTATAATACAGATTTAAATTCTCATAAAGTTTTGCTTTTGTATTACTGCCAATAGAGAAAAATCTATAAATTAGCAGACAATATTTGCTGGGGAATCACTTATGGCTCCCCCAAATTTGTGGCAATTCCTGCATCTGTGCATCTCATGCTTACTCCTCTCCCCTCCCCAACCTTCGTATAACTAGGTCATAAGTGGCCTGGGTTCCTTCACTTAAGCTAACATCCCCTTAGTGAATTCCTGTGTTGCTTAAACCCACCAGAATAAATTCTGTTAGAAACTCCAACTCTAACCTACCAAACCACAAGACCATCCCCAAAATGCAGAGAAATTAAATTCAAGGCTCACTGCCCTTGGCTTCAAGTGACATTCACTTACAAGCCTGGCTTTTAGAGTCATGAAGGCCTCATTCCAAGCCCTGCCCAGCCATTAACTAGCTGTGTAACCATGGTCAAGTTCTAAGCTGAGTAAAATAAGGACACAAATAGAAAATACTTTATAAGGCTTTGTGAAGATTAACAAAACTAAGAATACATATTAACATTACAGGGTAGATTATTATATATCCCAGGCTAAAGGTGCTAAGCACCTTATATATATTACATCAATAATACTCCTCTAAGAGCCAAGCCTACTGCCAAGCAGAAAGTAGGTATGTACCACGTGCATGGATTACAAGACTCAATAATTATAAACACATCTGTTTACCCAAATGATCTACAGATTTAATGCAATCACAATAATAAACCCAGCAGACATTTTAATAACTTATAAAGAATCAATATAGAAAAATAAATAAATAATAAAATTTGACTATCTGATGCTAAAATTCATATGGAATACTAAGGACCTATAAAATAGCCACACAATCTTAAGAAGAAAAAAAAGCTGACTTTAAGACTTATTATAGAGGTACAGCAATCAAAACAGCGGGGCCTCACTGTAAGACACACAAACAGATGAACAGAACAGAATAGATGGGTCCAAATATAGACCAACACTTTTACAAGCAACTGACTTTTAACAAAGACATCAAAATAATTCAATGAGAAAGTCTTTTCACAAATGGTGCAAAAAAACTTATTATCCATATGGAAAAACAGAATGAACCTCAATCCTTACCTTATAATACTTAACACAAAAATTAATTAGCGATGGATCATGGATCTAAATGTAAAGGTTAAAACCATAAGACAACTGGAGGAAAGAATATCTCTATAATCTGGAGTAGGAAAAGTTTTTAAGCTCCCCCCAAAAATTACAAAATAAAAAAACTGATAAATTAGATTTCATCAAAGTGAGAAACTTCTGATCATTAAAAGATACAATTAAAAGGCAAGAATACACAGTGGGGAAAGGACAGTCTCCTTGATGAATGGTGTTGGGAAAACTGGACAGCCACACGCAAAAATAAAAATAAAACTGGAAAACTATCTTACACCATAACCAAAAATTAACTCAAAATAGATTAAGACCTGAATGTAAGACCAGAAACCATAAAACTCCTAGAAAAAAACACAAGCTCCTTGATATAGGTCTTAGCAATACATTTCTGTATCTGCCTCCAAAAGCAAAGTCAACAAAAGCAAAAGTAAACAAATGGGACTACTTCAAACTAAAAAGCTTCCACACCACTAAGGAAACCACCAACAAAGTGAAAAGATAACCTACTGAATAGGAGAAGATATTTGCAAATAATATGGCCAATAGGAGCTGATATGCCAAAGAACTCATAAAACTCAATACCAAAGAAAATCTAATTAAAAAAGGGACAGAGAATCTAAAAATGTCTTTTCCCAAAGAAGACATCCAGATGGCTAACAGACACATGAAAAGATGTTTGACATCACTCATCATCAGAGAATGCAAATCAAAATCACCCTGAGAGATTTCCTCACACCTGTCAGAATAGCTATTATCAAAAAGAAAAAGAAAAAAGAAATAACAAGTACTGGTGAGAATGTGGAGCAAAGGGGACCCTCGTGCACTGTCGGTGGGAAGTAGCTGCACTAATTTACACTTTCTACCATGGAAAACAGTATAGATGTTCCTCAAAAATGTTTTTTAAAAACTACTGTATGATCCAGCAACTCCACTTTTGGGTATTTGTCCAAAGGAAATATAATCACTATGTCAAGAAAAAAAAAAAAACAAAACCTTTTCATCGCCATGTTCACTCTAGCATTATTTACAATGGCCAAGGTATGAAACAACCTAAGTGCCCATCAATGGATGAATGGAAAAAAATATGTAATACACATATAAAAATCATATCCAAAAATATGTAACACACACACACACACACACACACTAAATAGAATATTATTCAGCCACAAAAAAGAAGGAAATCCTTCATTTGCAACAACATGGGTGGACCTAAAGGACATTATGCTAAGTGAGCTAAGCCAGACACAGAAAGACAAAACCCTATGATTTCACTTATATATGGAATCTGAAAAACAAAACAAGTGAAAAAACAAAACTCATAAATACAGAGAACACAATGGTGGTTGCTAGAGGGGAGGAGTGGATGAAATGGGTGAAGCAGGTCAAGAGGTACAGACTAGTTACAAAATACGTAAGTCACAGGGATGTAATGTACAGCATGGGGACTACAGTCAAATATTTGTAGAGCATACTTGAAAGTTGCTGAAAGTTTCTGTATGGTGACAGAGGGTAACTAGACTTACTGCAGTGATCATTTCACGATGTATAAATATCCAATCAGTACACTGTACTATAGAGTAATGTAATGTTACATGTCAATTAAACCTCAATAAAAAATGTTTTAAAGATACCATTTAGAAAATGAATAAGCCAGCCACAGACTGGGAAAAGAGACTTGTAGAACATTTATCTGCCAAACGACTGGTATTTAGAATACCTACATAAAGGACTCCCATAATTCAAGAAAAGACAAGTCATTATTTTTAAAAAGGTGAAAGGATTACTAAACGCTTCAAA